ACTGAAATTATGAAAAAATAAAACCCCTGAAAATTTGATTTAGAAGCTTTCTTGTGATGACTGAAATTATTAAAAAAAATATATAAACCCTCAAAAAAATTGATTTAGAAACTTCCTTGTGATGATTTCAATTATTAAAGAATAAAAACCACCTCAAATTGGATTTAGAAACTTTCTTGTAATGACTAAAATTATTTAAAAAATTAATATAAACCCTCCAAAAATTTCATTTTAATAAAAACCCCCTCAAATTTGATTTAGAAGCTTTCTTGTAATGACGGAAATTATTAAAACATAAAAGCCCTGAAAATGTGATTTAGAAACTTTCTTGTAATGACTGAAATCATTAAAAAATTAATATAAACCCTCCAAAAATTAGATTTAGAAACTTCCTTGTGATGATTTCAATTATTAAAGAATAAAAACCACCTCAAATTAGATTTAGAAACTTTCTTGTGATGACTGAAATTATTAAAAAATTAATATAAACCCCCCAAAAATTAGATTTAGAAACTTCCTTTTGATGATTAAAACTCACATTTTCTATCCCAGTGCCAATCCTCAGGATGCCACTGATGAAATGCGGAATGTTCTGGAATAAGGATTAAAAAAAAAAACAAATTATGAAATGGGGAATATTCTGGAACAAGGATTAAAAAACAAACCCAAATTAAAAAGTCAATTATTGAGAGGAATAATTGGAATTTCTGCCGGCTCTTGGATCTACAACCCAGAAAATGAAGAGAAATTAAACAATGTTATATTTATAAATTAAAATATACAGAAATTTATAAAATAAAATATGAAGCTTGAAGTTGGACACACAATTTCAAGAAAGGAGGAAATGTTTTATTTTCTAAATTTAAAATAAAACCCACAACAAATGGAACAAATTCCTCACATCCTCCTCTCCATAATTCTAAGTCAGGAAAGGCAAATTTAAAATATCTAAATATCTATATCTATAAAATATATAAAATAAAGGGAAAAAGAAATTATTTAAGTCATTCATCCACCAACTCCATTTCTGACTGCAAATATTCCCTAAATGATCCCACATGGAATAAAGCCACAATTTCTTAATTATCAAATAATTAATTGATAATTCCGCCTTCACTTCAGCAAAAGGAAATGGGACAGATTTAATTAACAAACATTTAAAAATCCAAGAATTTAAAATGCAGGACTTACAACAACTTTTTTAATTAAATCAGCGAGGTCTTCCATGACATTGAACTCATGAACTTTCTTCATGTCCCAGTCCAGGAACATCAAACTGGTGGGAAACAGAAGGAATTATTAATTAACGGAAGAAATTATTAATTAACAGAAGGAATTACTACTTAACAAAAGAAATTATTATTTAATAGAAGGAATTTTAATCTAACAGAAGGAATTGTAATTTAACAGAAGGAATTGTTATTTTACAAAAGAAATTATTATTTAATAGAAAGAATTGTTATTTTACAAAAGATATTATTATTTAACAAAAGGAATTGTTATTTTACAAATGAAATTGTTATTTAATAGAAGGAATTGTTATTTAACAAAAGGAATTATTATTTAATAGAAAGAATTGTTATTTAAAAAAAGGAATTATTATTTAACAGAAGGATTCCCAAGGGTTCCAAAACTCCAAAATCCCCAAATATCCCAAACTCCCCAAAGATTCCCAACTTCAAAATCCCGAAGATTCCAAACTCCAGAATCCCCAAATATTCCAAACTCCAAAATNATTTATTAAATTCAGCAGTGTAATGATCATTATTTCATCTAACTGGGACCAGGAAAAACAATTTATGCACCAAACTCATTCAATTCAGCAGTGTAAAAATCATTATTTCATGTCAGTGGAATCAGGAACAGAAAATTTAAACACTAAAATTTATCCACTAAATTTTTTACACCAAATTTATTAAATTCAGCAGTGTAAAAGTCATTATTTCATTTAAGTGGGGCCAGAAAAAAACAAATTTATGCACCAAATTCATTAAATTCAGCAGTGTAGAAGTCATTATTTCATGTGAGACCAGAAAAAAAACAATTTATGCATTAAATGTATTCAATTCAGCAGTGTAAAAATCATTATTTCATGTCAGTAGGACCAGAAACGGAAAATTTAAACATTAAAATTTATCCACTAAAATTTATCCACCAAATTCATTAAATTCAGCAGTGTAAAAATCATTATTTCATCTAAGGGGGACCAGAAAAAAACAAATTTATCCACCAAATTTATTAAATTCAGCAGTGTAAGGATTATTATTTCACGTCAGTGTGACCAGGAATAAACAAATTTATGCACCAAATTCATGAAATTCAGCAGTGTAAAAATCATTATTTCACCTAAGTGGGGCCAGGAACAGAAAATTTAAACATTAAATTTTATCCACTAAAATTTACCCACTAAATTTTCTGTTCTGGTGCCACTGACATGAAATAATGATCATTACCCTGCTGAATTTAATAAATTTCGTGCATAAATTGTTTTTTCCTGGTCCCAGTTAGATGAAATAATGATTTTTACACTGCTGAATTTAATACATTTGGTGCATAAATTTATTTATTCCTGGCCCCACTTAAATGAAATAATGATGATTACACTGCTGAATTTAATGAGTTTGGTGGATAAAATTTAGTGGATAGATTTTAGTGTTTAAATTTTCTGTTCCTGGTCCCACTGACATGAAATAATGATTTTTACATTGCTGAATTTAATGAATTTAGTGCATAAATTTATTTATTCCTGGTCATACTTACATGAAATAATGATCATTACCCTGCTGAATTTAATAAATTTGGTGCATAAATTGTTTTTTCCTGGTCCCACGGACATGAAACAATGATTTTTACACTGCTGAATTTAATGAATTTGGTGGATAAAACTTAGTGGATAAATTTTAGTGTTTAAATTTTCTGTTCTGGTCCCATGGACATGAAATAATGATTTTTACACTGCTGAATTTNCCCAAGACTCCAAACTCTAAAATCCCCCAGATTCCCAAATAATCCAAAGATTCCAAACTCCCAAAGATTCCCAAGACTCCAAACTCTAAAATCCCAAACATTCCAAACTCCAGAATCCCAAAGACTCCCAAATTCCAAAATCCCCAAGATTCCAAAACTCCAGAATCCCAAAGATTCCCAACTCCAAAATCTCGAAGATTCGCAAACGCCAGAATCCCCAAAGATTCCAAAATCCCAAAGGTTCCAGATTCCAAACTCCCAAAGATTCCCAGATTCCCCAAAGATTCCCAGACCCTCCAAGATCCCAAACTCCAAATCCCCAATATTCCAAACTTCAGATTCTCAAAGATCTCAAACTCCAGAATCCCCAAAGATTCCAAAATCCCAAACATCAAATCCAAAGTCCCCAAGATTCCCAAACTCCAAAATCCCAAAGGTCCCAAACTCCAGAATCACAAAGATTTCAAATTTCAGATCCCCAAAGATTCCAAACTCCACCACCCCAAACATTCCAAACTCCAGAATCCCAAAGATTCCAAAATCCCAAAGATTTCCCAAAACTCCAGAATCCCAAAGATTCCAAAGATTCCAAAGTCCCAAAGATTCCAAAGATTCCAAAACCCCCAACATTCCAAACTCCAAAAGAATCCAGATACCCGGATTCCCAAAGATCCAAACTTCAGATTCCCAAAGAATCCAAACTCCCAAAATCTCCCCCAAAGATTCCAAACTCCAGATTCTGAAATATCCCAAAGATCCCAAAGATTCCCAACTCCCAAAGATTCCAAACTCCCAAATCCCCCAGATTCCCAAATAATCCAAAGATTCCAAACTCCCAAAGATTCCCAAGACTCCAAACTCTAAAATCCCAAAGATTCCAAACTTCAAAAACCCAAACATTCCAAACTCCAAATCCCCAAAGATTCCAAATTCCAGATCCCCAAAGATTCCAGAGATTCCAAAATCCCAAACATTCCACACTCCAAAATCCCAAACATCAAATCCAAAGTCCCCAAGATTCCCAAACTCCAGAATGCCAAAGATTTCAAATTGCAGAATCCCAAAGATTCCAAACTCCAAAAGAATCCAGATACCCGGATTCCCAAAGATCCAAACTTCAGATTCCCAAAGAATCCAAACTCCCAAAATCTCCAAAGGTTCCAAACTTCAGAATCCCCCAGATTCCAAACTCCAGATTCCCAAATAATCCAAAGATTCCCAACTCCCAAAGATTCCCAAGACTCCAAACTCTAAAATCCCAAACATCCCAAACTCCAGATCCCCAAAGATTCCCAAACTGCAAAATCCCAAACATTCTCAAACTCCACAATCCCAAAGATTCCAAACTTCAGTTTCCCAAAGATTCCAAAGATTCCCAGACTCCCAAAGATTTCAAACTCCACAATCCCAAAGATTCCAAAATCCCAAACATCAAATCCAAAGTCCCAAAAGTTCCAAAGATTCCAAACTCCCAAAGATTCCAAAGATTCCAAAATCCCAAAGATTCCAAACTCCAAAATTCCCAGCATTCCAAACTCCAAAAGAATCCAGATACCCGGATTCCCAAAGATTCAAAACTCCCAAATCCCCCAGATTCCCAATTCCAGATTCCCAAATAATCCAAAGATTCCAAAATCCCCAAGACTCCAAATCCCAAAGATTTCAACCTCCCCAAAGATTCCATACTACAAAATCCC